GTTCTGCGTAGACCCAAAGGCAAAGCAAAACACCAAAATTGATCGTCCAAATTACAAGTTATATTTCGGGACCAAATCGGAGTGCGAGATGGTTGCTTAACTAGCTAGGGAACGTGACACGGCAGCGTACGAATTAGCGTGGATGCTTGACCAGAAGTTTTCAGCTAAATAGGATGACTTAAACAGTGAGGGTCAGCATCAAATGTTCAGTGATGAATGATGTGGCCAATAATTCTGGGGAATCGCCTACCGCTACAATCTCATGTGATTTTGCTTGGAAAAGAGACCGAGGTCGTTCATGGACTTGGCCTTCGTGTTTATCTCACACAACCCTTCCTTCTCCTGAAAAGAGATGAATCTGTCATCAGAGTGAAGTTCGACGTCTTACCTTGGACAGTAGGATGTACGATGGGTAACCACCTTGTGATGGTTGATGACTGCGATAACAAGTCACTATTCTCATGTTTCCTCTTCCTGCCTGCCTTTACTGGAAATCACTAGTCATCTTCATGGATTGTGCAAATGATAGCACTGAGGTTTACACCACAAGAGATGAAATTCAGTAGGAATTTGGTAGAAATTCACCCCCATTTCGAAGTTGAGTGAATTTTTATCAAAAAGTATGTGAAGAATGTTTTAATTTTATTTTGCATATTGTACGTTTAAGTGAAGAAATCAAGACTGAGAATTTATTTCTTAACAAAAGTATCGTTCAATAGATTAGTTAGTTTAGACTATCGAGAAAATGGCGGAAGTCATTGGTATCAGTTACATATTAGCGCGAGGTCCTAAAGCTGCTTGTTGATTTCTCCTGCTGACTATGTCAGAGAGCATTAAAGTTATCTGCCGCGTGAGGCCACTTAATGAACAAGAGAAAGCAAATGACAGCAAGTTCGTGGTGTCATTCCCCGGTGATGGAAACACAACTGTATCTCTTGGGGTATGTTTGATGGTTTTTAGTTTGTGACAACTCTTCTATCTAGGGTAAAAACTATAGCTTCGATCATGTAGTTCAGCCGAAGGCATCTCAGTTAGAGGTGTATGAAGTTGTGGCCAAGCCCATTGTTGCAGATGTGCTGAACGGATATAATGGGACAATATTCGCCTATGGTCAAACTTCGAGTGGAAAGACTTTTACTATGGAGGTATGACATTCTGCTTTCTGATTGTTTCTCCTCAGGGTATTTTAGGTGACCCAGTCTTTCAAGGTGTTATCCCGCGGATAGTCCACGATATATTCAACCATATATACCAAATGGACGAAAACTTGGAGTTCCATATTAAGGTAATTTTTGTGGTGCTGTTCTTATCTTCAGGTTTCTTACTTCGAAATATACATGGAAAAAATCCGTGATCTGCTTGATGGTAAATTTTTCGATCTAATTTATATCTTGATTCAGTTTCGAAGACAAACCTACCGGTGCATGAGGATAAAGACCGAGTTCCTTACGTGAAAGTAAGCTATAATTCCTCCTAACGAGAATCTCCAAGGGTGTCACGGAAAAGTTTGTTGCCACTCCAGAAGAGGTTTTCGATGCAATTGATGAGGGGAAGGCTAACCGTCATGTAGCCGTAACTAGTAAGTATTTCTTATTGATTCTATATTCCATGTATTCGTACTAGTTAGCATGTGTTTTGTATTGAATCAATAATAACCTTTTCTCATAAAGATAATGATGACATGCTTAGTGAGGCTTCCAGGAATATTAGATTCGTAGTGTGTCAATGTGAAAGACATCTCTTGGAGGTAGTAATTTTCTGTGTATGCTTAAAGTTTCGCTTTGATTTAATTGTCATTGCTCACTGTCGTATTTCGTGAGGTTGCAAATAGCTATTTCACAAAAGTGTTTGTCATCTCTGGAGATAAAATTATAATCGTTGTCGTATTATCCTGCTTTGACCGACTACTGTTTGTCGAAGTAGGGTTCCCAAATATGTCAGCTTTATCACTTGATCTTACCGTTTCTACTGGAATCTTACGTGATTATATATGCAATTTAAGTGATCTTAGAATCTATGTCCTATAACTATGTTAAGGTTGTTTAATATTACGTTTTTAATTTGTGACTTTTTATCTATGTGTAGACATGAATGAGCACAGTTCTCGGAGCCATTCAGTATTCATGATCAATGTTCGACAAGAGAATTTGGAAACTCAAAAGAAACTACATGGGAAACTTTATCTTGTTGATTTGGCTGGTAGTGAGAAAGTTGCGAAGACAGGCGCTGAAGGTACTGTGTTGGACGAAGCCAAAAATATTAACAAATCGCTTTCTGCTCTTGGTAATGTGATCAATGCACTTGTGGAAGGAAGTGTAAGTTTATACTTTCATGTGGTGGTGGTAGTAGTGCTTGTATTCTAGCCACTGTTGACTTTGAATTTCCATGTGATTATGACGCATATGCGTTGGTAGCAAAGTGGTAGAATGCTCGCCAATCACGCATGTGTTTCGGGGTTCGATCCCCGGCCACGGACGCACCCCTTTACCTCGCTAAGGCAGCAACAAAACTGGAAGGTTGGGCATGACGCCAGCAACACCACCCCGTAAAAATCAACACCACTGCTACAGAAACTTCAAACCTCTAGCTTGAAGCCCTATGTTCCACTGGGAATGGAAAGGAATAAAAAAAATGACATGAGATATCGAATTGTTGTATTTTGATCACGTATGTCTGTATGTGCTCACTTTTTAGCAGAGTTCTGTACTGTGTATGTTTCTGAGGCAGGAAAATCCGTCACACTTACTCATATTTTTAGCCTCTACGGTGACCTGAATCTCTTGTCTGTATATGTTGTACTTATTTGAAGATGACTCCTACTGCCTTATCAAGCTATTGATCTGTTAAATAATTTTCTGTTTCAGTCTCATGTTCCTTATCGTGACTCTAAACTAACTCGCATTCTTCAAGAATCTCTTGGAGGTAATGCACGAACAACTATGGTGATTTGTTGTTCTCCTGCTGGGTACAATGATGCCGAGACGAAGTCCACCCTAATGTTCGGTATGCGAGCTAAAACCATCAAGAATCTGGTAACGGTTAACGAAGAACTTACGGCTGATGAATGGCGTAGGAGGTATGAGCGAGAAAGAGAGAAAGTTAGGAAGTTGCGCAATATTGTAAGTCATCTGGAGAGTGAATTAAAACGTTGGCGAGCAGGTAAGAAATACTATGACTGTTTTCTGCTTAAGTTTAACTTGAAGATTTTAAAATTAAGGATTCAAAATTATATAAGTACGAATTACCAGTTTAAGCTGTTTCTGTATCATAGTTATGTTTACTTATTTTTTTAAAGTTGTATCTTAGTGAGTAGGAATAAAGAATGTAAAGGATGGGAGTGTGAATGAATAGCACAGTGGGAAAGTAAGATATTGCCCAGAGCAGATTTCTCGTGTATCGGGTAGTAAGCCACACATATTTTGTGAAGACTAATGTTGCTACCAAGTTGGGCAGGTTGAGTTTGATTTAACAGGATTTAAATTCCGAACCCATGGACTAAAAATGGAGCGCTTAAGCGAATCAGCCGCACGCCGATCAGAACCTATGGCTAGAAACTCCTGGTGATAGTGTTCAGAATAGATCGCAGTGATGATAGGGGTGGATTCATGGTTTGTGCCTATCCTTGTTATAATAGCTCATTTCTCTATTTACATTATCATCTATTTCTTCGTTTTATCCTGCTTTACGACCGATTAAATTATTTCCATCCTGTTGTCTAATTATCTGCTTGATGTGCGTTGATGTATGGCTGATTGTGTTAAGTATGTAAAGTTGAGTTAATGGGTGAGGAGGTCGAAGGCCCGCTCTGCTTATTTTAGCCTAGGGAACTGGCTATTGTCACCAGTCGTCATCTGTCAAATGTAACTCATAAAGGCGGTCTTGGGAAACTGAGTTATAATTTTTAGTGTGGAGAAATGGCATGTTGCAGTTAAGATCACTAGTGGAGTAATATTATGTCCTATTTTGGTATATTGACAATGCGGTCACAGGAAATCACTCCTATCATATTGAACTCATGTATATAGACTGAGGAAAGGTGTAATAGTTCCAGCGAACATTGTGCATAAATATAGAAGTTGAATTGAACGTAGTTTTTGTTGTCATATAATCTGTGTTATATATTAAATTTCAGGTGAAACTGTTAGTCAAGCTGAATGGTTCACGGAAAATCAATATGCTGGCGCTATAGACGATACAAGAGATTCGATAACTACACCCAGTGTCCCCAGTACACCAATGCTAGACAGCGTCTCCACTTCTACACCACGATCTACCGGCCTCACAAATGCATCTCCAGGTAGTCTATTTCGTCTCCTGTTGGTTATTGTCCTTTCATAATACTTTGTGTTAATACTGTGTGTTATTTTCATTTCATATTTCACCTTATGTTATTGAGGAGTTTTGTGTAAGTCGGTGAATCTAGTGACTTCTAACTTCCCTTCTCCACTATGTTTTGTTAATGTAGTGAAGTAGTGATATTTTTCTTCTCAGTTGGTGAGGAAGTTAGCACTTTAGGTAGCTTTGTTTTCCCAATGTAGACATTGGTGGTAGAACTGTAGCTAGGGTTGCAGAAGCTGTCTGTGATCTAAGACGAAGCGGATTGCGTCAACTTACCGACAGGATAGCTCCTCAGGTGTTTCAAGATGAGGGTGATGAATAGTGGAGTGGGATAATTGGTGGTGTTCTAGCCAATGTGGGTGGGGGGTCTTAGATGGTCTCATCAGATTTATGTAGATGGCCAGGTTTCCCCTGTGCTGATCAAAGGGGATCAGACTGGTTGATATTGCATCCAGGATACTTGGGGAAATGAAACAGTCAGGCATACAGACTGCAGTTCTGGGCAAAGGTGTATTATCATGTCCTCTCTGTTCAACAGTTTTTGAAAACAAACTTGTTTTTTAGAGTCCAGTATTTGACATATTTCTTGACCTAAGCGTAGAATTTGACTTCATCCGACTTACTGAGGAATGATATTGGTTTATTCCAGCAGCCCTACTCAGGTATATGCAGTTGTTTTGAGGGTATATAGAAAGTTGTGTGCGGTTGGCGATGATCAGTGTGCTTGCACTAAGAACGCCCGCTATCACTATCCGTACCTAATTTAGTTTGATGAATGACGTATTGGTGTTTCTTTTACATTGATGTCAGTAAGCGTAGTGACTCGACATTGCAACTAATTCTGTTACCTCTTGGTACTCGTCAGAAAGATATACCGTCAACATCGGAGGAAGCCTGTGATTTTCAATGATGCGTTACTCATCACCGACATCTGCAACGTTGCTACCAAGCTTTTTAGCCCAAAACTGACGTGAGTATCACCTTATTGAGCTTAGTAACAGCATCATGTACATGATTAATGAGTTTTCATCGATGCTTATGACTGAAGGAAGTCTCGAATTGACCATTGTGCACTTCTGTCAGTGTAGTGATTGTTGGTGTGAATATGTGGGGGTGTTTAGACAGCCTGACTGACCTGAAGGTCCTTGGAATAGTGAAAATCATTAACTAGAGACCCGGCACGGAAACTTAAACTTCTGTGTGGAGCTATGCTTTGATCTGTAATTCAAACAGGGAGTATCTTCTTCACCGAGTAAGCTTACTAATTAATGTTTTAACTATTTGACTGACTGATTGGTTGTTGTTTGTGTGTATTTCTGACTGAACTGATGGCATTTTGGCAACCAAGAACGTGTTGTTACAATTCAGAAGTGGTTATTCTGTTGTATTCCCTTTGTGCACTGTGTTGTCATATACGTCAATTTTTTATTCTGGTATGTGAAGTTATGAAAATGTATTTGATTCTTTGTCAGTTAATTTTGGATATAGCTTTGTTTTATTTAAACCATTACATGCTCTTTCTGTATAATAAATACTATATGGACTGTTGATCAGCATGTGTTGTTTTTTCTCAGCCCGCACTTCCGGTAATGTCAATCTTGGAACTATCGGTGCTTCAGGAGGAAGTGTTGGAGATGAACAGTTACAGTTGCTTTATCAACAACTTGACGACAAAGATGATGAAATAAATAAGCAAGCTCAGACAATTGCACGTCTTCGCCAGCAAATTGAAGAGCAAGACGTGGTGAACAATTCTTTGCGTATAGAACGTGAGGGACAATTAAAAGAAATTACAACTCTTCAGGTAAGTGGTAATACATGTTATGAACTTTGTATAAATTTATATATCCATGGAAGTGTATTGAAAGGTGATACATTTTAGCCGTTATAATTAACTGCTTTTATCATTTGATTGGTTTTCTGAGGTCCGTTGTGTTGCTTTTCATTAGAGAGTAGAAGGCGGTGGGTGGAGGTTGAGAGAAGGCAAGACTCAATGGCCACTTGGATTTCGACGAAGTTGTCGATGAGTCACACCTATTGTATGTGAGCGCTAGTGGTACCAATAGTACCTTGCTAGTGGTTGCCCAAACCCTTTGTAGGAAAAGTAATATTCTTAGCGCGTTACCCACTGGCTGGTAGTGGAGTAGTGGAGTGAGTACATAAAATGTATGAGCTCCAGTTGCATCCTTGTTTTTCATTGAATGTGAATACTATGTGATGGGCATATATGTTCTTGTGACTGTTGTTTCAGATGAGCTTCTTGTTAAAGTGGTGTTTGATATTAGTTAATGATATAATAGTGTTTTCCTGTCATATTGTCAAGAGGTTTTTTTAGAAATTATTTTTGCAGTGAATCTCTCCTGTGTTTTCATGTAAACTGGTTTAAAGTGCTTTCTTCCTCCTCAGAGTGCATGTTATTTTGTTTGCTTATTCTGGTGAACTTTCAAGCAGTAGTAACAGTAACAGTGGTAAGAGTAGTAGAAGTAGTAGAATAACTGTGGTTTGACTTTACTGGTAAAGATGATGATGGTGTAGGCATGAGTTTTCATCATTCATAGTGGATGAGTGAAATTACTGAACTCACGTGGTTCTTACACACTAAATTGGGAAAGGCTATAAATAGATGAAATGTGGAAAGACATTGTGGAAACTTTCAGACTGAAGGGTAGGTGTTTGTCTTAAGTCTAACCGTTTCATAATTATGATGAATCGGCAAGTATTAGAGTACTGAAGTTATTTCCCTCTTCTTTCTAAAGCACATGATGACTGCCACTCGTTTTTGACAACCAGCAACTTGGATTTTGCCTATCCACTAATCTCTCTATTCTAGGTGGTGCCAGTTATCCAGTTTCTTCCTTACTGCATCCTCTCTCCCTCCTCACCCCGTCTGCTCTGTAGGAAAAATACTTAGCGAAGTCTACATAACTCACATAGTATTGTATTGATAGAATTATTATGCTGACAGTTTTGTTATTTTTGTGAAATGTTTCCTCTAAATGGATCTTTTTCTTCACTCATTGTATGTGTGTGTGTCAAGGCTGAATACCAGTCGAGCAAAGATGAAGTGAAGGAAGTCCTGCAAGCCTTAGAAGAATTAGCAATGAATTATGACCAAAAGGCTCAAGAGATTGATGCAAAAGCGAAAGAACTTGAAGAGGCTCAAGAGTCCTTGCTACAACAAACCCGTTTAATGCATAGTAAAGACGGTGAATTGTCACAGTTGAAGGATACACATCAAAATCAGAAGAAGAAATATACTGAAATGATGTCTAGCCTGTTGAAGGATCTAATTGATGTTGGTGAATGCTTGAATGATCAAATTACGGTAGGTTTAAAAGTATTTATCAGTTTTGTGTTATCATTGAATGGGTTCTTATTCCAAGTATGTGAGCAGCCTTGGGTAGGGAAGTAATCATGGCACATATACTAATTTGATAAGTCTACTATGGCGGGATGAGCGTATTATCGTCTTATAGAACCTGGTCTATTCGCATAAGTCGTTGTTGCCACATTAAATTACATCAGTGGAGTAAATAATAAGAAGTAACATGATGGGATGGATGGATTAATATGACGTCTTGGATCGCACCCAAATGAATGATAACGCAACACACGAACTATCTTTCTCTCTACGGCACCACGTCATAGACTGACCACCTCTTCTCGTTTCGCTTTCAGTCCCAAGACTGTGAGACAGTGAATGGTATAGAAGCCATCAGGACAGCGTTTGTAGCACGTGTTGAAGCCACCGAAGACACCGTCGTTAGGTGATATCGGTCGGTCGGTCGGTTTTCGACATAGAACTTTGCACATATGTGCGCCAGTTCAAGTCGCCACACTCCATGTTGCACACAAAACAAGAGAAGAAAGTAGAAAAATGCATAGTATAGACAGTAAACAGAGGTGAGAGACAAAGGAATAGTAGTAACGAAGAACAATAGAGTTTAATTGGAAATCACAAGTCACAAGGAGTGGATGCATCTGCGCCACTGAGAACGATTTTGAGCCATGTCACCAATTGTTTCCAACCATTGGTTTTTACCGTCCCGAGGACCCCAACCAGGAAGTCTACATCTTCCTACGTGGCTTAGACTAACTTGTGGATTTCATTGACTGGTACCATGTTTTCGTTTGACTGCCGCTAGCTCTTTTCCAGCCTGGCCCTATGTCAGCTAACATTGCCCATTGTCGAGGAAGGCGATGACTAGGCATACGTAACACATGTCCCAGCCATCTTAGTCGATGTAATTTCACAGTCTCGTCGACTGATTTCCCCGCCTTACTTAGCACTCGATGCCTAACCTCAATATTGCTCACCTTATGATACCACTTCACGCGGGAGATAGAACGAAGGCACATATGGTCAAAGACAGCTAATCTTTTCATGTCTTCCGCTCTCAATGGCCATGTCTCAAAGCCATAAAGGAGGACGGAGCGAACTGTTGAGCAGTACACACGCCCTTTGGTCGATAGTCGGATGTCACGTCTACGCGAAAGACGGCGTAAACTGGCATATGCGAAACTAGCCCTGTGTATTCGTGCTGAGATTTCGTCGGAGATCAACCCGTTGGCACTGGCTGATGGTACTTCCCAAGTAAATGAAGTGGTCAACGTGCTCTACCACTTCACTTCCTATTTCTAATCTAGGGGTCGGTGAAGTCCAATCCTTCAGCATCATCTTACATTTTACAGGGGCGAATCGCATGCCAAACATACGAAGATTGTTGCTCAAGGTGTTCAGTAGACTCTGCATTTTGTCAGCGTCCTCGCCTAGAAGGACTATATCGTCCGCATATTCTAAGTCGACGAGATTATTCCCTGGTAGCAAGTCAATTACTTGTGAGAGAAGTAATATGCCTACCAATTTGCTTATACTTCTTTGCAAACATCTGTGTTGAAATTCAGTCAGTCAATTGTCATAAAAACATCCATTCAGTTTCAGTATTATTTCATCCGAACTTGCTGCCTATTGTGTTATCAGTGCACAAAAGGACATCCTTCCTCAATAATTATAATCGTATTATCTTTTGTTTTATCCAATCTTCGTGTTTATTAGACTTTGTAATTTTATTAATTTGACCGTTGACCGATCGGAAATAGTTTTCTAACTTTCTCACCCATTTTCTATATAAACACATAAATTTACAGCCGAGTTGATGACTTCATCGAAAGGAATATTTTCTTGTTTGCAACGGTCTTTTTGATTCAGTACAGCAGAGAAAATATGTTTATATTAGTGAGTGTAATTGAATAAAAACGTAGTCGAATTAGTTACTTAGTTAGTTTATTGGTTAGTACGTTGGACTATTGTCTCTTCTCATCAGGGAATATTTCTCGAAACTTTCTTAGACGAGAAGTCAATAACTGAGACATGCATGTATATGTGGCTAGCAAAGAAAGTTCTCTGTATAGTTGACAGATTAATACACTCAACTTCCTGCAGTGTAAAGTTGATTGTGATACACGACGGAAAGCAACAATAGATAAGCTTACTGTGCTGCCTATTCTGTTTCATTGACTTTCTGTTAAAAACAACGGTATTATACTTCAAATTCGAGTCCCGCGTACGAATCCCATCCAACCCCAACCCTCACAGAATAAGTTCAGCTCATGGTCTAATGTTACTAGAATTGTGTAATTGGCCAGTTCATTTCTGTATGCATCGCCCTCGTCATCATCAACCTTACTTACTTACTTTACTTTACTTCGGCTATCTCCTACGGGAGGATGAGCCGGCTTCATGAACATATCGAATCATCGCTGCCCAGGCGCGGCGATCTGATGCATGGAGTTCATGAAGTTTCATGGGAATTTGGTACGAGTGATGTCCCCAGAATCGCTCGGCCTTTTGTTTGAGAGTGCAGCTCTAGCCTTTACACAACCAAGTGTGACCTACAAGGCAGTAGGAGTGGAGTAGGGAGTCCACTATCCATTGGCAGCCGGTGACCGGAGTTCGGTTCATACGCCTTTTTGAATGGGGCCAGACATCCTGGACATCCAACAAGCCCTTTGTCCATACGTCTGCCGGTGAGCTCCAGTGAGCTTCATACGCCAGTCGTTGGAGGTTTGGAATCAGGGTTTAGCCATCTCCCCTAGACTGTCATCCAATGGACAGTCACCCCGGTGAAGAGCGCCGGGTATCCGCTTTCGCCCTCTCACTTAGGTGAAAAACACCTCCGCCACGTGAAGGCAGTGAGTAGGACTTCCTCAGGAGAGGCTATGTAAGACGCCCGGTCATATGGGAGCATTTCAAGAGGTGTGCGGAGGGTTGGCCAACCCGCAGCGCAAGGCACCCACCCCGACCATCCTGAGGCTTTGGATACCTTGTGATACCTTCTGAAAGTGAATATTTTGTTTCAGGAAATCTGAAGATGGATTTCTACTGTTCCATTTCTCTCCCTCTCTACGAAATCAACTCTTGAGTAATAAACATTTGTTTTGTGGCGGCGTATTGTAGTTTGCATGGAAACACTGTATGTATATGTTGGCGCGTACACTATATCTGTAAATGAGAGTCATCCAGACAATGACCACTAACACAATCTCGATTGAATGTGTAATCTATACATGTGTACCTGACTGTGCTTTATTAATATGTTAGTATATCGACAATGTTAATAGACGTTGTTATAAAGTTAGATAAAGGCGTTCTGATCTTTGAATTGATATTTCTGTCAGATATAACTTGAATGATGAATGCATACCTGAGTTAATGTGATATCTGATATTGTTGGTGAATACTTTACTCTGTGGACATAAGTTTCATGGTTGTTGTTGTTGTTGTGGCCTTTGAGGAGAGAATTCTGTCTCTCAGGGATATGAACCCCTGTGACATTATATTACAGTCAAGAATATTTCCACTTACCTGTTGTAATTCACACGTCGTTTTGTCTCAGCTAGATTGATAGTAGTTGAGTGAGTGTTTTGTCGACTATGTTCAGTTCACCGGGTAGGATTGGATGTCATCATGGGGCTAAATAGACTGTTGAACCTAAATCCTCTCCGGTGGGACTGACTACTCTAGAATGACTAGTCAGTTCGCAAAACTTCATTTTTATCTATGATTTATTATTTCTCCTCTGACAGTTTAGTATAATTTCTCGTTTTTTTTTCTTTGCCTCTCTCTCTCTTTTGTTTTCTGTTGACGACGATGACGACATCAGAAACCATCTGTTGGTTCTGAACGATTAGATGAAGAGTTTACTGTTGTTCGTTTGTATATAAGTAAGATGAAAAGTGAGGCGAAATCACTGCACTCACGTGTACGTCAATTGGAAGAGGAACGTGTACAGCATGTACAGTTAGTGCGTAAGAGCGATGATGAGTCTAAAGATCTTCGAACACGACTTCATGCTGTAAGTCAAGTATATATGTTGTATTGTTATGATGAGTGACATGTGGTTGTATGTGTGTGTGTATGCTTTGTCATTTTGCTGTTTTCTTTTTAACTGGTAAGATTTAGATGTTATAGACTGGTGAAGTTGTCGCCTTTCCGGACTCCGTCCATCGACAAATGTGTAGATACATGCAGTCGATTAATAATAATAGTCCAGTCGGAATGAAGGCCAGTTGTTGTCAAGTATTGAGGTATAGTGGACAGATGATACATCGTGGCTCGTCGGCATAATCACTTGATTTTCAGCCAATAATAGGCGCAGGATTATAATACTACTCTATCTGCTCTTTAGCCCTGAGAGCAACTGGTTTGTGTCACCATCGTTCTCTCTCCTTGTGTGCCTCTCGTATACTCTATATGTGCGGTGTACATATGCGACTTGTTTCAGGTAACTTAATAAAAATGCGTTTTAAAACACGCTCAATATGATCTATTCTATGTTAAGACAAAAGGGGAATTAAAACAAAATTCTGTGACGAGCTGACACCTGTTTTGAGAAATATGAAGCTATTATCATGACTCACTAGTCCAATGAATATGTTCAAGGTATTTGAGACGTTAGCTACTGGTATCAAGTTTTAATAAAGGAGGTCTAGGGATGTAAATATATCTGTCTGATTGATAAATGGAACGAGATCCACTTTACTGAATTTCTCAGTTGTTCAAGGACATAGTCGGATGGATGATGATGGAACGTAGTTTATGCAACTTTGATTGGATGGGGGAAATGTATATGTGTAGCTCAGTGATTTAAGCAGACCATTGCATTCATCGCACAAGGATATATGTGATTGATGAAAGGAGGATTAACGGTTCCTGTGTCTGTTCTGTTGAGAATTTACCAAAATACGGTGTGTTTTAGAATTAATTAATTGTGCGTCGGTGGCACAGTGGTTAGGACTCTCGCCGACCATGCACATGGTCCGGGGTTCGATCCCCTACCGATGCACACCCGACATCTATGGTCGGCCTGCAAAATTTGGGCTACCGATATCCATGCTGAAAATGCCATACTTATACTAAAAATACGGCGTGGCATCAAGCTGTTATCAAAAAAATAAATAAATAAAAATAAATGGAAGGTGACTATGCAGAAGTTTGTTTATACAGCTGACCTGTTACTCATTGGGGGTTTAGTCATTTAACCGTTAACTATTGTTTGACGGGTTGTAATTCCTCCACACCTGCCAAGATTTAGTCATTTAGGTGTGTAAAAGAAAAGAAGGCGTTCAGCGAAGAGTGTGTGTGTTAGTATAGATAAGCTCTGACACTGCAGTAGTTGTGTAACTCTCATTACCAATAAACGGTGTGTAGATGCAATTGGTTAGTTGGCTGGTTGTTTGTTGGGTGGTACACATTTATTGTCATTCACACTCGACTTAAATAACGCTTGTATTTAGATAGGTGTTAATCGAATGTTATTTCTGAGAATTCTTTCATTTTTGATATGCCTTTCTGATTTCTTTTTCTCCTAAGTTTGAAGTGAAAGTTGGCACCCTAAGCGATAAAATTGACGAGTCAGAATCACGTAAGCGTCAATTGCAGGAGACAGTGGATAGCTTAAATGCGGAGTTGGCGAAACTACGCGCTAATGAACAATTCATCACCGGATCTGGTCAACAAAATGAACAAATATTAGCTGGTCAATCAGCGATACGAGCGAAATTAGATGAAGAGTTTAAACGACAATCAGAGTATTATGCTGCTCAGGTGAAATCTCTACGTGATGAATTAGACGAGAAACAGAAGAAGTTGGAAGAATACAAGGAGTAAGTTGTCTGTTTCTTGATAGGTGTGTTGTGAAGATGTGGTCCACTGACTAGATCTAGTTGAATTTCAGCCCATATGTCCCTATCTACTTAACCCTGTCGAATTGTGAGTGGTAATTGGAGGCCTTCCTTCACCGAATCACTGGGTTGGTGTTAGGTCATACAACAGCCTATCTGAGTAAAAAGTGTGTTCAAATCAGCAACCAGCATGTATACTGTAAGAGCATATTAATTGTGATCTCTTAGCACGGGAGGTTGCTTTACTGTCTGTCAGCTAGTGAACAACTGCATGTACACGTACAACATACATACGACTGAATGTCCACGTATCGTATCACGATCGCAATGAACGCGATGGTTTGATGTTATTGGGTTTACTTTGCTTCGATAATGACCATGATAATGTTCATGTTCATCCCAGTGAATATTTTCCTTATTTTTTGAAACCGTACAGAAAGGTTCAGTTCAATCTGCTCGGTTTCTCTGAGAAGGTAGACACATGTAAGGATTAGAACCAAATATGTAAATATCTTTCGCGTTTTGTACACATAATTATTTAGTTACAGCATTATGCGCACTATCGCCTGGAAAACATCGTTTTCAACTACAGACAGGAATTCATGGGTCATTGGATCGGGTCCAGGTGGCTGGTCTACGAGCTAGCCTTGTAACCAGAAGGTCCTGGGTTCGAACCCCGGTGGGTGCGTACTGTGAAGAGTCCCAGACTAGGCCGAAACAGCTGTGCAGTACTCCCAGGTTTTCCAGTGGTTCTCTAACCGATGTCAACTCATGATGAAATCCTGTAACAGACAACATGATTAGGTATGTGATTGGATTGGAGAAGCCGGACAGGGTTTCCTTACTGTCAACCTACTGCTCAACACATGTACCGTAGTAGGTAGTCCAGGAAAGACTAAGGTGTGTGTAGGGAACAATAAAGAATAATTGATAAGATGGAAGAGTCACCAAATTGTAAAAGTTGAGGTTCAGTAGTTCCTCCCCATTTCTATTTTTACTCTATTTTATGCATTCACAGTGAGGCCAATAATTTCAAATTCCAATCCGAGAAATCACAAGAGGAGGTGAAACAGTTACGTGAAGAATTGGAGACAAAAACTAAACGGCTAGACACATTCGAGAAGACAGCTGAAAAACGTGAACAAGCCAAACAAGATCTACGTGGTTTGGAAGAGACAGTTATCAAAGAATTACAAACACTACACAATTTACGACGATTATTCATCCAAGATCTTAATAGTCGAGTTAAAAAGGTTTGTGATGTGTGAGACATGATAATGTTTGTCTTTCTTGATTGATATTGTGAATGTGTTTTAAAAGTTGTAAATGTGGCATGTTATTGTCTCTCTGCTGCATCATACACCAGTGTGGTGGCTATGGATGGACTCAGTTGGGATGGATGTTTTGTAGGATTGAAGAGGACGGAAACAATAGATTTTCATCTATCATTGAAGTATAATTAGCTTATGCAACTCAACTGGTAGACCCTGATTTGTTCATGAGGAAGGCAGCTTCTTTTGTGATGCAGGTCATCTACTGCGGTAGGTTGATGATACCTATCTGACTGTCTGAATGTCAGTAGGTTATTCCTTAGAATTTAGACGTTAAAAGCACACTTGTAGGTGTGCTGTTTCCTCCACTGTTGATTTGGAGGTGGTGAGCGAGAAGCACTTGACGTGGGTTTGGTGCTTACCACCACTCATCAGCAAGGCGTATCCGCAGTCTCTCTTGAAGGAACTCATATCCCTTCTGAGATTGTAACCTGATGCTGCAGTGGCACACTTTACAGCTGAGCTATTCTTGCTGGCGATAGACTTCCTTTAGGATTGTGATGGATGGTTTGGTTGAACAGTAGGTGCTAACTAATTGCATATTAGGTAAGTTTATTGCAGATATCACAGAGTGATTGCAGTATTAATAAATGGATGACGTTTTGAGCACAAATCGCTACTCATAATCATATCAGCTTACTCGCAGCAAACGTCATTCAGTTATTAATCAATACTGCATCACGGTGTGATCTTTGAAATGGACCTATTTAATATCAAAATACATCCTACTACGGTGTTCAAGTTCTGCACTTACACCAGTAACTAGTGTCATGCGTCCAGTCCTTGGTTTGTTGCAGACACTTTAGTTGCTACCTTGTGTCCAGTCGAAATACTGCTGACTTCTTTTTTTAATTAAGAAATGTAATCTGTCCTCAAAAGACCTACCAAAATGTATCTACCTTGAGGACTATTTATAATGTTTAGTGAAGTAGTCGTCAAACAACTGTGGAAGAATTTGTGTCTCATATTGTAGTGTAGCTGATTGTTGGTTTGAGAGGATTCTACTTTGAGCTGTGGACTCTGGGGTCGTAATCCCCCTCCACCTAATTGATTCTGCTAATGGATCTGGCTGATGTCCTGTTACATTGAGAAACTCGTCTTGGGTAAGTGGATTCTCACAAATATGTTCCTTTACGTTCCCAGTGGAACATAGGGGGCTCCAAGCTAGAGGTTTGAAGTTTCTGTAGCAGTGGTGTTTACTTTTACAGGATGGGGTTGCTAGCCTCATACCCAGTCCAACTTTCCCTCTTTACCAGTCTTATTACTGGCTTAGCGAGGTAAAGGAGTGTGTCTGTGGCTGGGGATTGAACCCCGAACCACCTGCATGGTTGACAAGCATTCTACCGGTTTGTCGCCCACGCACGGATTCTCACCAATAAGTGTATATTATTTGTCCTAGGTCACTATCACATTGTTGATTGTCTGATGATTGCTCATGTATATATAGTTTTATAAGACTTGAACACTGTGGATTCAAGTGTAAAATTCCATGTTATTTATTTTTAAATTTGCCGATTTCTCTTTTAGTCTGCAAATCGTGTGAATGCACTGGCAGCGGCTGAAAAAGCTGCAGGTAACCAGCAAGGCGGTAATATGGCCAGTCAACAACAGCAAATCTCCGAAAGTATATTCATGGACGATGATGACGATGAACCAGGTCAAGCTGGTTCACTGGCTCAAAGAGAGAAAATTGCCTTCCTTGAAAATAATCTTGATAAATTAACTAAAGTGCATAAACAACTTGTACATGACAATGCAGAGCTACGCTGTGAACTTCCTAAAATGGAAAAACGTCTTAAGGTTAGTTAGTTAGTTAGTTGGTTAGTAATTATCATTACCTTTTCTCTAGCTTGTCCTTTAAATGATAAACAGACTTTTCATTGTTGATTTCATCCACTAACTGACATAAGCATTGGGATTTCGTTATGCAGCTAGGGCCTTGGAAATAACGAGGCGAGTTCGCTTGTGATTATTCAACTATTGGGATGAAATTCAACAACAAACTATGAATTCTAACTGCTGCCAAATAGAGTGATGTCGATGATTATCATGAAGAGAGGGCTCGATTGGTATTTACTGCCAACTTACGCCATCCCTGGTTTAGTACCCGTGATATCCTGCTGGCCTGGCTATGGGTCAAATGATGCATGTACTGTATAGCAGCCACATCAGCAGTTCGCTCCGTCCTCCTCTATATAGGCTGTGGTGACTGAGACATGGCCATTGGACGTGGAAGACATGAAAAGCCTGGCTAGCCGTCTTTGGTCATAGGTGTCTGTGTTCTCCACCCGTGTCTAATTTAACCTGAGCAGCTGGGTAGCTAGTAGCATCGTGGGAAGTCTGTATTTTTTGTCGATGTACATACCTTAATACTTTTGGAGTTGACGTTATGAATTGTTGGAGAAGTAGACTGTCTTTCAGTAAATCTTAGTGTGTGTGCCTTGCCCTGGCTGGTCTTGACTGACACTATAGTTTTCAGTGTCACTCGAGAAATAATGTAGTCATGTTCAAGAGTTATTTTGTAGAGATCCGATTTGTTTGAAGTTTGACACGAGTTAAGCAATCATTTGAAAACCAGGGTAGTGTACTGGACTGTTGTTTTATTTAAGCTAGTTTGGGACTGTCCAGCAGTACGCATCCATCGGTATTTGAACTCTCAGGACCATCCGTTTCTGGTCACTAGTAACTGAGCAAATCCTGGTCACGGATGACATTGGATGGTGACAGTCGCGGTAAAATTACGATTTAGAAGAGGTTAGAATTCATGTGGCAGTGGATTCGATCCCAGTGTCGGAATGGTCTGCGAGCTTGACTTGTGATTGGTAGATCATGGGTGCGTACTGCTGAATAATCCGAAGCTGGGGTGTAACAGCCCCCCCCCCGAGTACTCACTCCCGGGTTCTCCAATAGTTCTCTGAGTGATGTTAGCTTGTGATAAAAATTGCAATGTAGTCATGATTAAATTTAAAAGGGAAGTGAGTGTTTGAAGTCTCATGTGAATAATAATAATGTGTGAAGAAATTAGTGGATAGGTGAAATTGGTCTCACGATTGTTCATAGCGGCATAAATGAAGGGTTGTACGGGTTCCTCTGGACACTGAGATACTATTACTGTTTGAGGACAATTTTTCACTGACAAGCATTCTAATAATACAAATGAGAAATCCGTTTAAACATCAATGGTTATATCGCCGCCTATTTTGTAATGTTTTCTTTCTTTCTTATAGTGTACTCTGGAGCGTGTACGCAGCCTAGAGTTATCATTGAAAGAGGCTAAGGAAGGAGCTATGCGTGACCGTAAACGTTATCAAGTTGAAGTAGAACGTATTAAAGAGGTTGTCCGTCAACGGAATATCACTGGACGTCGTGGTCAATCACAAATCGCTAAGCCTATACGCGCTGGACATGCACCAGTGTCCACTGCTGGCGGTGGTGACTGAGACATGGCCATTGGACGTGGAAGACATGAAAAGCCTGGCTAGCCGTCTTTGGTCATAGGTGTCTGTGTTCTCCACCCGTGTCTAATTTAACCTGAGCAGCTGGGTAGCTAGTAGCATCGTGGGAAGTCTGTATTTTTTGTCGATGTACATACCTTAATACTTTTGGAGTTGACGTTATGAATTGTTGGAGAAGTAGACTGTCTTTCAGTAAATCTTAGTGTGTGTGCCTTGCCCTGGCTGGTCTTGACTGACACTATAGTTTTCAGTGTCACTCGAGAAATAATGTAGTCATGTTCAAGAGTTATTTTGTAGAGATCCGATTTGTTTGAAGTTTGACACGAGTTAAGCAATCATTTGAAAACCAGGGTAGTGTACTGGACTGTTGTTTTATTTAAGCTAGTTTGGGACTGTCCAGCAGTACGCATCCATCGGTATTTGAACTCTCAGGACCATCCGTTTCTGGTCACTAGTAACTGAGCAAATCCTGGTCACGGATGACATTGGATGGTGACAGTCGCGGTAAAATTACGATTTAGAAGAGGTTAGAATTCATGTGGCAGTGGATTCGATCCCAGTGTCGGAATGGTCTGCGAGCTTGACTTGTGATTGGTAGATCATGGGTGCGTACTGCTGAATAATCCGAAGCTGGGGTGTAACAGCCCCCCCCCCGAGTACTCACTCCCGGGTTCTCCAATAGTTCTCTGAGTGATGTTAGCTTGTGATAAAAATTGCAATGTAGTCATGATTAAATTTAAAAGGGAAGTGAGTGTTTGAAGTCTCATGTGAATAATAATAATGTGTGAAGAAATTAGTGGATAGGTGAAATTGGTCTCACGATTGTTCATAGCGGCATAAATGAAGGGTTGTACGGGTTCCTCTGGACACTGAGATACTATTACTGTTTGAGGACAATTTTTCACTGACAAGCATTCTAATAATACAAATGAGAAATCCGTTTAAACATCAATGGTTATATCGCCGCCTATTTTGTAATGTTTTCTTTCTTTCTTATAGTGTACTCTGGAGCGTGTACGCAGCCTAGAGTTATCATTGAAAGAGGCTAAGGAAGGAGCTATGCGTGACCGTAAACGTTATCAAGTTGAAGTAGAACGTATTAAAGAGGTTGTCCGTCAACGGAATATCACTGGACGTCGTGGTCAATCACAAATCGCTAAGCCTATACGCGCTGGACATGCACCAGTGTCCACTGCTGGCGGTGGTGGTGGGACAGCAGTGACACGACCAGATATTCCAGGATCATCATAATCTCTGATATATACACGTGGTGATTATTTTTCTATATGTGTACATATGCTTTCTTTTGGAGTTCCATCTTGGCAGACTTTTGCATAGATATATATATGCGCACTTGAATTTATGCTTTCATATATAAATATATATATCGATTCAACCTGTTATGTTTACAACAAGTAGAATGTCCACGATGCTGCCTATACACAATACCCACAATGACTGTGAGGAGCCTTAAGAACGAAGAAGTATATGTAACATATATACATATATGTTCGTCCCCGGTGGTTGTTTGGCGGTTCATTGGTTGCTTTCTTTTTGGTTTCCCCACCTACTCACTAACTAACTAACTAACTAATTTATTGATCACAGTTAACTTTATTTCTTTCTTAGCACACTACAACAAATCATGGTCATATTACATATTATGCAACATACCTGCACACACACACAAGTTTATCCATGACTCTATCGATTGCTTTGAGTTGTTTTTTTGTGACTTCTTTTTTCACTGATATGTTGTGTTGTTATAACTTTCGTCTGACTGACTTTATTATTGTCGTGGATCTATTCTTGTTGTCACACACATTCATACATTTGTTGATTTTGTTTGTGTGTGTGCGATTGTGCTTATTACAGAGCGAGCGAGCCCGCTGATTGCGCACCTTTTCTCCGCTCACTCACTCTCTCTCCTTCTCTCTTCGCGAATTTATTTATTTTGTGATCAAGACAAAATATGCGCCAATTTCTGCACACACTGCAGTTAAATTGTATTTTGAAAGGAAAGGAGGAGGAGAAAAGTGCGCACATGGTGGAATAATTTTTTGTAGGAAGCTAGTAATGACAATTGTGATGCGATTGATGAGTTGCGGAAGAAAGAAGTGTAAAGGCCCCCTAAGTAGGGAAAAAAGTTATGAGTAAAAGTACGCTTTTATGCAGACATGTGGTGGTGTGTGTTATGTAATGCTTCATCGGCTTCTTTTCCAGTTCTTTCTCTCATTTTTGTGATAAAAGGATGCGGATGAGACGCTGTGTGTGGGCGTCTGTTTGTCCCCCTTACTCATCGCAGATATTTATATTTTTGTTAACTTCTCCTGACCGCTCTGCGTGTGTAGTAGTCATTTATATACATGTAATTTCGAATTCTATGTTCTATGTACTTACCTCTGAGGCTGGAAGAAAGAGAGAGAGAGATGAGGTCGTAGAGAGAGGGGGGGGAAATGAGTACTCTTCATTACACATACATTGATATCCTTTACATATATATGTATGTATGTATTGGTGTGTTTTTATGTTTGTGTATGGTCTTATTATTTTTTTGCGGCTTTTTTGATTTCATCGCCTTTATGTTTCTTACGCATCATGGTTGGATTGGATTTTATGACTTTATTCAACTTTTATTTGCCATGTATATTATCTAATATTTTTAAATAATAATATTAACTTATTATTATTATTATTACTATTATTATTATTTATTGTTATGAAATGCATACCATATTGGTTACTACTACTATTATTATTCTTATTCTTATTTGAGTCGATTAAAAAAAAAGCATAATTTAATGTAAAAGGTAATTTCTTTTCTCGTGTTTTTTTTAAAGTTTTGGGCGAATCAAAACAAATCTGTGTACTGTCTCAGTGATATCCGTTCCATGTTCTTTAGGGTCTATCTGTCTGTTTTCGACATAGAACTTTGCACATATGTGCGGCAGTTCAAGTCGCCACACTTCATGTAGCACACAAAGCAAGAGGGGAAAGTAGAAGGAATGCATAATACAGACAGTAAACAGAGGTGTGAGACAAAGGAATAGTAATAACGAAGAACAAAGCAGTTTCATTGGAAATCACAAGTCACAAGGAGTGGATGCGTCTGGTGCCATGTTTTCGTTTGACCGCCGCTAGCTCTTTTCCAGCCTGACACTATATCAGCTAACATTGCCCATTGTCGAGGAAGGCGATGACTAGTCATACGTAACACATGTCCTAACCATCTCAGTCGATGTAATTTCACAGTCTCGTCGGCTGATTTCCCCTCTCACGTACCTAGCACTCGAAGTCTAACCTCAATATTGCTCACCTTATGATACCACTTCACGCGGGAGATAGAACGCAGACACCTATGATCAAAGACAGCTAATCAGCCTTTTTATGTCTTCCGCTCTCAATGGCCTGGTCTCACTCACAGCCATAAAGGAGGACGGAGCGGACTGTTGAGCAGTACACACGCCCTTTGGTCGATAGTCTGATATCACGTCTACGCGAGAGACGGCGTAAACTGGCATATGGGAAACTAGCCCTGTGTATTCGTGCTGAGATTTCGTCGGAGATCAACCCGTTGGCACTGGCTGATCGTACTTCCCAAGTAAGTGAAGCGGTCAACGTGCTCTACCACTTCACTTCCTATTTCTAATCTAGGGGTCGGTGTAGTGATAACATTGACTGGTGTCAGTCGCGCTGAAATCATGAATTGGTTGGGCAGAAATTAGAATTCATAGTTAGTTATTGGGTCATTGAATAGTTGAGCCCTCGTGGTTGAATGGTCTGTGAGTTGTTCGCCTCGTCTTATGATCGGAAGGTCCTGGGTTTTGAACCTCAGCTGTGGGGGTGTGTACTGACGATGATTCCCAAGGTAGGCTGACGAATCATCCGTTCAATACTCCTCACTAGTTTGAAATGGTCCTCTCACTGAAGTTATTTCGTAATCATATCTGTACTAAATATTTATTATTATTGTTTCCTTTAATTCCTACAGAAACATAGGGCTTCAGCCGTGCTTCTCCATTGCGTTCGGTTCTCTGCTAGAGTTTTCACCTGGCTCCAAGTCTGCCCACACGCTTTCATCTCCTCTTCACATGACCTCTTCCAAGTCACCCTTGCACTGACGACCAACTCGTCGCTTCCCTTTCGGGTTCCACTCGAGCGATGGCTTGTCTAGTGATGTCACTCACTTGATGGTTTCCTCAGAGTATGGCCAGCCAATCCATCTCCATTTCTTCCTGCCTATTTGTTTCACAATCGGTTTCTGGTGGGTTGGTTGGTTCGTTCATTCCCAGAGACCCATCCCTGTTGCTGATCTTTTCTGGCTGGCCATCTGATCTTGAGTGGTATTGAGCGAAGACAACTGTTAATGAAGGTCTGTAGTTTGTTGGAAATGCTCTTTATGACGCGCCAAGTCTCTGATCCTCATGGTAAGTAGCACTGACTTCACATTGGAGTTAAAAATTCGGATCTTATTTTTGATGCTGAGTGCTGCTCTGTTGACCTCCACACTGACTTGAGAGTAGTGAAAGCTTGTACTAAATAACTCTTGGAAAAAGGAAATCTTTTTTAGTGTTATTAGAAGATGGAGATTATCTGGAAAATGTGATGTATCTGCGCAATGCGTTTCAAACAGTCTAATTCCTCACACACGTGTACTCGTCAAGTCAATTTATGTGAAAAATGAGACAGGCCAATTAAAAATATACAAAGTGACAAAAAGGATTTAAGAATAATTCACACAACATTTGGTGGTTGTCTAAGCAGATAATTTACAAAAAAGTCTACTTGGTGGACAGGGCAACACTTCAATTTTCGCAACTTCTGCCCACTAGAGTATAAAACAGGCTAGATGAATTGTTTTTCTTTTCAGAGAACTAATTCAGTGTATTTGTACAGCTGATGAATACTCTTGATGATATTAGATAGTTGGAGGCAATCGGCCACAGGAGGTCAATGGCGAGCCCGATTAGCTCAGTGGTGTGACATCTCTGAATACAGCGATAGGTGATGCGGTTTCGAATCTCCGAGGGGAGGGACATGAGTTCCTTCAGTGGGATTGCAAATACGCCTGCTTTGCTGACTACTGGTGAGTGGCAACTAGCACGAAATCTAGGTCCATACAATGCTTCCTGTGGCCGATCACCTCCAACCATCTAAAATCAAAAATTCACAGTGCACCATGATGGCGAGCCGCCTAGGTGGCATGGTTGCCACATTGTAAAATTGACTAATGGAATTCAGTCTGCATTAAATATAGGACTAGACGCACACGCTACACTAGTTACTGACTGGTGTCCAATCAAAAGCAACCCTGAATCTATTGCCCAACAAATCCGCAAAAGGAAACTGAGATGAACTGAACATACGCTGAGGAGGTCGTTGAGCGACACTACGTGCTAGGCAATCCCTCTAGTGGAACATGAATTGGACATGACGAGATGGGCTTCGATTTGAGGGTTCCATGGAGAAGGTTTAAAGCTTACGGATAATCGTGCAGCCAGTTAGATAGAAATTCAAAGAACAGGGTGAAATAGAGATGTCCTTCTAAAGAGCTATGTTCCATTGGAACTCTACATACATATACATATTCAGGTAGGTAGTCACCTTGGGTTCCAGTGGGAAGTTGTGACCAATAAATTACAGCAGGTCGGGTGTGAGGACAAATACTCGCCAAAGACATTGGCTAGTGCCAGTCGCGCTACTTCGTGAATTGGCACAAATTAGAATTCATGCACTGGTCATTGGATCGGGTCCCAGTGGTCTACGAGATAGCTCGCCACCTTGTAACCAGAAGATCCTAGGTTCGAACCCCAGTGAGGTGGGTACGTACTGATGAAGAGTCACAAATTAGGAAAACAGAGACAGCTGTCCAGTACAGATTTTCCGATGACCCTCTAACTAATGTCAGCTCATAATGAAATCCTGTAACCACTCAAGTCAAGTCACTAGAAACACACTGTAGCACTCCAGAGGTGAAAAGAATGGAAGAAAAATACCAACTAACAACCGTCTTCAAAAAGAATGGATATCCTCACAGTTTCATCGAAAAGTGTTTAAAATTGAGTTACAACACCAACAACAAGAAACCATCATCAAAGACTACAAGAAAATTCATTCCACCATATATAAGCGAAAATATCTCTGAAATAACAGCTAGAATACTGAAACCGTTTGATATAGATATAGCACACTAGCCAGTCAAATCACTTCATTCGATTATGTGCAAACTGAAAGATCCAACAGAAAAAAGA